ATGTAAAGAAAAACATATCCATGAAAAATCTTGTTAGAATCATAATAAATATATATTATTATAAATATATAATAAATATAAATATATACTACTCCGTATTACAATATATAACTTCTCATGATAATTTGGATCATGTAATTTTTTTTTTTTTTTTTTGAGATTAATGTTTGTGTATTTGATTATACATATAATCATGAGTAGAATTAGTTAATCTAAGAAAATTGAGGTGCAATATATACGGTAGTTTGATTAGTTCGTTCACCCTTTAATTGTTTGTCGAAATCTTGAGTAATACCTGAATGATTAACTCATTAACTACACGGAAGAAATGTAAATATAGTGACAAGTATTCATCAATCTTGTCGATAAGAAAGTGAGAAATTTAGAGCAGTGGTTTGAAATATGATTATCATATGATTATATAGTTCATAATTGACATATTTTTTCTAGGTAGTTAATTATATTAGTGTTTTTTTTTTTTTTGAGAAAATAATTATATTAGTATAAAATAGTATTATTAACAATTTTTTCACTTTTGTATTTTCTTTCAATAATAAGTATTACTTGTCAAAAAAATACGAAAAAAATTAAGTACGCGCAAGTTTGAAATTAAAAGTCGCTCCGTCACTATGAATACCGATCGATCATCTAAATAAATGAGCTGTAGCCGTCCATATCTGCAAGAAGATATTTGCGGCATTTTTGTACTTAATACGAAGTATATAAAGTTATATATTTTTGGTGATGAATTCAACATGTGCAAAAATGAATTCAGGCACACTTCATAGCTACTATAACACGTGAATAATACAAGCTAAGTACCAATAATACTTGGATCAGCATTTATAAACAACAGTAAAGTTGGATTATATGTTAGCTTAGTAATACTACGTGTATATATGGATGTAGGACGATAATTGTGATCTCGGATCAACGAACGTCTCGAAAAAGATTCGAACCCGACATAGGGAGCCATGGTAATCTTTTGTAAGCAACACAATTGTTCCTGTATAGTAGTATTGAACTTGACATAAGATAAATCTTACCAGATGTTCTAGTGATGAGACAAGAGCTAAATAATATGTGCATTTTAGGTATTTAAGGGTCCAATTCTGCTTTTTTTTACGCGTCTTTAATATACATTGATTAATTTGTATGTTGTGTCCAACAAAACATAGAAAAAATTGTAGATGTTATTATTGTAGTATAATAATTTTTAGCATATGAATCATGTGTTATACTTGTATAATGTTAGATCCATTGAATATATATACTAATATACTTGAAAGATGTTAAGAAGTATGTAAGACAACAGAGTAAATACTGTATATTTGGATTTTCTTCTTATATTTGAAGTCCAAATTTCACGAGTGACTGTTATCCTATCACGCGCAAATTGTGCATTATTCTTTGATAGTAACGTGTAAATAATGATCAAGATATACTTCATACTCTACTGTAAATAATGATAAGGCCACTGATCGATGATCAAGATATACCACTAATTAAATTATTCGGGATTTGTGAATATTTGTGATCAGCTTATAAGTCCCTAAACTTTCACTTTTATTAATTCCAAGTCATTAGCTCAAGGTCATTTATCTTAATCTTAATTTTTAAATACGATGCCACGTATGTATTAAGATCCCCAAACAATGGTTAATCAACTAAAGAAGTTGACTCATTAATGGTTAAGAGACCCATTTGTCTCATTTAAACTTGAGGGACTTTAATTAAGTGCACAAATACCATACTTTAGGGACAATATTTAATCTTTAAACTCTTTACTCTATAATGTGGAGTATCTACTAATTGAAAATTTATAGCTTAGCTATTGGCATATGCTTAAAATGAATCACTCAATTGTATTAATTAAGCTAAGTAAGATTATGGATTTCTTAAAAAAATTAAGTACAACGGGATATTTATGCATGGGTATATATAAGATTATCATTCTGTGACTTTATGGGTACATTTTAGATCATCATGCATCAATCATAAAATTTAATGATTTATAACCATAGTTAATCACGTATAATATGTATAAGAGTAGAATCTTATTATTGATAATATTATGTAATAGAATCAATTACATTTATAAATAAGCAGCACATTATTATACACTAACTAAAACATTACGTCAATCCTTCTTAAAAAAAATTGTGTCAATCAAGATTTATATCCATATTAATCACGCATATTATATAATAGAATTTAAGGATTGATATATATATATATATATATATATATAATATATAATATATATATATATATATATATATATAGAATTTAATGAATGATAATAGAATGTAATAAAATATAATAATTTAATAAGAAAATATAAAAATAGCGCGAAAATAATTGATGACATTGTGGCAAGTGTCTATCTTAGGTTCGCTTTAATTTTAGTATAGGTTAATAGATTAAAACTTATTTCTTTTACTGATTCTCTATTTTTTTTTATAAATAAATTAAATATATTATAACTGGATCCTATTTTAAAGAAATTTTTAAAACGGATTTTATGATGGAAATATAATCGAGTTATATGATATTATATAAAAGGCTTATTTGCGTTGCTTATTTATAGTGTATTTGTGTCGCTTCTATGAGCGACGCAACTGCTCGCGACGCAAATGACTTTTAAATCATTTGCGTCGCTCCTAGGCGCGACGCAAATAAGAGTCATTTGCGTCACTCCTTTATAAACAAGTGACGCAAATAAGAGTTATTTGTGTCGCTCCTTATAAACAAGTGACGCAAATAGCTGTTTTGAGCAACTTCTTGTTTGTTATTTGCGTCACTTGTTTATATAGGAGTGACGCAAATGACTTACTAGATAATACAAAATTACTTTATTTGCGTCACTCACTCACTTGTTTGTTTAATGAGTGACGCAAATGATGTGATTTTTTTTAAAAAAAAGTTATAATAATTGCTTGTATATGTTTATAGTACATGTTTTCCTTGGTAGTGGTATAAAGTAATATGCTAACGTCAATAATTGAAATTAAAATGCAATATTAATGAATGCAAATATAAATTTTGGCAAAGTCTCCTTTGTATTTTGGCCTACTATAGGGAATAATTTCAAGCCTTTAAAAGCCCACTAGCTTGAACCCCACTGTGATCATACACTAAAGTACGGTGGCGTCCAAAAGGGAAGAAGATAGAGCAAAAGAGTCGCCAACAAGTTTTTAAGGAACTTGTAAACCATTCACGAGGTGAAGGTTACACCCCTTAACGATCCAAGAGATCGTCAACTCCATAAAGTCATGAACCAAATAAGGGTTCGGGGATGATGGTACAAATCCAACCTAAAAGAGATTGAACCTGCCCTAATAATAGGCCTCTACTTCATTCTGCTCGTATTCATGTGCGCTTTCTGATTAACATGCAATCAATAGGATTAACCCTAAACCTGTTTAATCTATGTTGGTTGAATTTAATGCACAAATAAACTATTATTGGCGATCACTTGAATTATAATCACAATTAACCCTAACAAGATTATTAATATCTTATTAAGCGTGGTTGCAAATACCAATTCCCTTTAACCTGCAATAAAAGGTGATCAAGCAATAACAATATACAATAATATGCATATCAAGCAACATAATAAATAATCATTATCAATCATAATCATAAATATTAGAAAGAACATAGGAAGCATCATATTTTTAATCATGCTTAATATTAAAAACACCCTATACATAATACTAGTAATATCATAATAATAATATAAACATGATGTCTACATCATAAATCAATTAAACCATTAAAGTACTTACTTGGATGCCTCGTACCTCTTTCTAATTACAAAATACACACGTTAGTAACTTCAAGGAAAATAATAAACAAAGCAATTAAATTAAATAATTGAAATAGAGATTTGGGACCAAACCCTCAGAAATTAAAACCTTTCACGTCTAGGGCGAAGGCAACTTGGAATATGGCTAGGTTTTTCAAGATCTTGTGAATGCGGAATTTTGTGTTTGAGAAAGAATAAAGTTTTGAAAGAATGAACGAAAGATTAATGATTCATAAACTAATTTGTTGACAATTGAAGATTGTAGATGATGAAGGAAAACGGAATCTATTAAAACTTAAGAATAAAAGAAGTGGTGAATGATAGATGATAATCCCTCCTCCAAAACGGAGTTTTTAATACGATATTTATAGAGAAAAACAGCCAAAAAAGATGATTTATCAAAACAGAGTCTAAAGATCGCATAAACAACTTGGCGCCAGCCCTGGCTCATTGGCGCCAGGACCAGTGGCTAGCGCCAGGCGCCAAGGCCTGGGGTTGGACGCCAAACCGGCTTTTAACACGTTTTCGAAAATCTGATAATTTTACCGTACTGGACGATAAAATAATATAATTTTAGTCGAAAATGCTATTTGATCTAATTAAAACTCTAAAGAATCCTAATTGAATTAAGAATGATAAAAACCTTCTAGAATGTTCTAGAAGACCAAAACCATTCCTAATTACATTAGGAATGATAAATCATATTAGGCCCTCCCCTAGATCATTGGGCCGTACTTAAAACTCAAACCGGGCCCAGTTTAGTAAATTGGCCATAAATTCCTCAATATTCATCGGAATTGGGCTTATAATATATCGTTGGAAAGGTCTTTGCAAGCCTCATCCAACTACACCACTATTGGAACCATATCATGGACCAACCAAACTGGATTGGCTGTTTTCCTTAAAATAAAGTTTTCAAAAACAGAGAGAAGAGAAAAGAAAAGAAAAGAAATAAAACTTTCCGCAACACTAAAACTTTCCACACTTTCGTTTAATTCGATTATGATTCGACGTGAAAGGCACTCATCACCGAGTTTGGTTTTGGGGAGACACAAATGGGTGTCTACACCTACCCATAAAATTGGGAATGACGGCATTATATTAACAACATGTCCAATAATTTACATCTCAATATCATTCATGCTCCATCAGTATTTATTTGTTCATGTCTGCAGATACTCTCTGAAAAAAGATGGAAAGATGTTACAGCCACTTTCAATTTCCTTCCACAGCCACAAATGCTTCTTTTGAGCTGCGAAAATACTACTATTCATTGCTTCGACACTATGAGCGAATCTACTACTTCAATGCCCGCGATTATTCTCCTGGTACCACCCTCATCACTCTATGCATGCCTGCTTTTGTATTTAGTCTGTAGCTTTTACTGTGCTGATTTTATTTTTATAGGTGTCTTGCAGAGTCTGAATCCTGCACCTTCTGCAGTCCATGGATTACCTGAAATGTCCGCAGCAGCAGCTCAGCCTGCAAATGTACATCAGAACCAGATAAACACTACAGAGTCTGTGTCTCAATGTATGCTTCAATTCTATGTAGAGTGACAATTGTTTGACTTGTGCTTTTCATCACTTATATGGTTCACACAAACAAATGCCTATCTACTTACTGTACTTAGCATATTTGGCTGGGTCTTATCTTTACCTTGCTAAGAGGAACAGGCTATGTGTCCTTCATCGGTTTTTTCTGTATTTGTTTGTATAGGAAATAGTCTAGCAAATCATTTTTGTAGTATATGTTAGCAGAAACAAATACTAATGTGTTAGAGGGCTAACTAAATGTTTAATACTTGAATTTTGGAACATCACCAAATGCAATTAGTTCAAAGGCAAATTATAACATAATCTGTACTAGATAATTGAAGATGACAGAAAAGAATATCTTACAAATTAAGCTTTTTCGGGATGTTTGTAAACCATCCATTAAATGTGTGTTTAAAATAACCACTTATATGATACAGTAGTAGGTATATATTTACATAAGCTAAGCATGAAAAGCTCAGAAACAGAAAGAAACTAAATTGCTTTTACAAAGCTCACAACAGATGGGCCATTTTCACATATATGCAAATAACCTTGATGATGATACCCACTGGAAATGTTTTGGCAACCGTCTGATATTATAGATACTCAAACCTCATTTACTAATACAAAAAGGTGTGTGCTTTGTGAAAGAAATATGAAGTTACATGTTCACTAGCCAAGAATCCCATCCTATTGTTAGCAAACTTTAAAGGTTTTCCAACTTTGTTCTGGTATGATGTATTGCAGTATTTTAACATTCATTTTCCTTTCACCAGCAGCACCATCTGGGGGGTATCCTATCATTGGAGTGATAGATGGAAAGTTTGAAAGTGGGTATCTAGTTACTGTCACAATTGAAAAGGATAAACTTAAAGGAGTTCTCTACTAGACTCCACCAACTAAAGTTAATCAAGCGCCACAAACATCTTGTATCCAACTTCGATCCATTTTCAACCACTGAATAACAAAATTAATTTTAAGATAATGTGTATATTTTCTAACATATATAGCTCCTTAACCATAAACAAGAATATAAGGCATCAAACATTTTCATTCAAATTTTATCTCATGTAAATGCAATGACATGATCCAACAAGGTCCTTATCACTCCAACCTAACCCATTCTTGAATGTCCTATCTCACTTGGTTCTATAGAAAATCCGGCAGCATTTCCCTATAGTTCTCCAAGCACACAATGTAGATAATCGGCTATCTACATATGTACCCAGAAAACGATCGGGAAATAGTGAGCCATGATCTTCTTAGACCCCAAAACAGTTCAAGTAGTTATCACCTAAATGAGATAGAATATTCAAGAACAGTCCCAAACCGGGGACTATTCAAGACTAACTCCTAATGAGTGAGCCCTGAACGGGTATCTAAGCCAATGATGCAAGTATTATTGCAATTCCAATCAATTATATCACAATTAAAAATCTCATACAATTCACAATCATTATACCAACCACAAAAAATAAGTTAATACAAAGAATGGTTTAGATATATATACCACAGTGAAGACAATCTCGTATGTGTACTACCGCCTTAATCGTTTGTCCACAACCAGAACCTCGAGCAACTTGTGGAATTCACTTCTGCATAATTAAGAATCTACCATATAAAATTACATATATTAAACCAACAATATTCAATCATACTATAAAATATTTTCTAATTAATTCTATCTACAAATTAATTTAAATTACATATATTAAACCAACAATATTCAATCATACTATAAAATATTTTCTAATTAATTCTATCTACAAATTAAATTACATATATTAAACCAACAATATTCAATCATACTATAAAATATTTTCTAATTAATTCTATATACAAATAAAATTCCATATATTAAACCAACAATATTCAATCACACTATAAAATATTTTCTAATTAATTCTATCTACAATAAAATTACATATATTAACCCAATTTTCTGTGAACTTTTTTTTTTTTGTTTTTTTTTTTTTTGAGAAAATGAAAATATTGAACATAAATAGAAGCAATCTTACCTTAGGTGAAATTGACTTCACAAATTCAACAATGTCGAGCCTAAATGTAGTTGATTTGGGCGAACACTGGTCGAACTACTACACTAATCGAACTTCAATTATAAAGGCTGTAATTTGCTCGTCCATCCTTAAATTTTTGGGGGGCGAAATTAATCAAGTAATTCACTCAAAAATTCAATTATAAAGGCAGTAATTCACTCAACGAATTCCTGGGGTTTTAATTTGATTTTTTTACTCGAAATTGCTCGAATTAATGCTCGAATTTGCTCAATTTTTTTGCTCGAATTTGCTCGTATTTGCCCATAATCGAATTTGCTCGAATTAATGCTCGAATTCCTGGGGTTTCTTAGGGTTTTTTTTGGTTGTTTTGCTCGAAATTAGAGGTTTGTAAACCTGAATTTTTTCCGATTATGGGTGTTGTCAATATTGCGGTTTGGTTGTTGAATTTGTGGGGGTTTTTTTGGTCGAATTTATGGGTGTTTTTGGGTCGAATTTTCGGGGTTTTTGGGTCGATTTTCTGGGGATTTTGGGTCGAAATGCCTTGAATTTCAGGGTGATTTTTGCTCGAATTTCTTGGGGTGTATGGGTCAAATTTCTGGGGTTTTTTTGCTCGAAATTCTGGGTGTTTAGCTGTAGAAAATCGCTGTTCTTGGAAGATAAGAGTAGCGCTGTTTTTTTTTGTTTTAGTAAAAGGGAGGCAGCTAGCAAGTGGAATCCAAAATAACCTAAATGCAAAAGAGTGATTTGCGTCACTCAACTAATAAAATGTGACACAAATAGCTCAAAGTTTAATGCTGCACATTACTTATTTGTGTCGCTTATTAATTAAAGGAATGACGCATTTTAATTTTATCACTCATTTGCGTCACTTGTCACTATATGAGCGACGCAAATAACATTATTATATATATGCGTCGTTTCACTAATTAAGAGCGACGCAAATAACAAAAAGCTAAAATGTATCTGACTTTTGCATCGCTTCTTGGTAAATGTGCGACGCAAATCACTTTTAAGGATGCTAAAAAAACATTTGTTTTGTTCTTTTGTATGAGTGACACAAATAAGGCGACGCAAATGTACGTTTTTCTACTAGTGGTTATGATTAATTTTATATAAAAGAAATATTAGAAGTATATCGATAATAAAACTCTATACAATATTTTTATATTACAAAATCTATGCAATCTAATCTAATGTTATATTTGATGAAATCACTATAATATCTATTTCTCGCCTACGTAGAGCGACACTTGGCGAAAAAACTGGAATGTCAAGTGGAGGAAGTATAAATAGAGTGTTGTGAGACATGGTGAAATATCTCACAACTATTAAAATAACATAAAAGTATAAGGAAGAGAAAGGAAGAGAGAGATAGGAAGAGTGAAAAAGGTGATGTGGGCTCCACTAAAACTTTTCAGACATGTATCAGATGCAAAAACGGAAAAAAAATTATTGGGATCACTACCACTGAGTTTATATTTGGTTTCACTAAGGTGTTGTTTAGTTGATGTGGGAATTTAATTCCCATAGGAATTTATACTTCATGGGAAGTTAATTCCTTAATGAAATTCCTAGGAATTTCTTAAATGTGTTTGGTTGGCAATAAGGGAAATTAGAATTCCCATGAATTTTGGTTTACCTAGGGGGGGCTAGGTAATTTACTTCCCATGTTTTGTGGGAAGTTGAAATTCCCATGAATTCCCGCTTCCCCCAGTTTTGCTTTCTTATGTCAACCAAACAACTCCTCATTTTCTCAATTCCCATGAATTTTCAATTCCCCCATTTTAGAATGTCAACCAAACAAGCCCTAAAACTCTAGTGGAGCTTTTTAAAGTAACAATGAGACAATATTTTGTACCACTGAGTGTGTATTTTATACCACTGAAACTCCAGTAATGTATAAATAGAGTGTTGTGAGACATGGTGAAATATCTCACAACTATATATATTAAAATAACATAAAAGTATAAGGAAGAGAAAGGAGGAGAGAGATAAGAAGAGTGAAAATGGTGATGTGGACTCCACTAAAACTTTTCAGACATGTATCACATGCAAAAACGGATAAAAATTTATTGGGACCACTACCACTGAGTTTATATTTTGTTCCACTAAAACTCTAGTGGAGCTTTTTAAAGTAACACTGAGACAATATTTTTTACCACTAAGTGTGTATTTTATACCACTGAAACTCCAGTGATATTATTTGATAACTCAATGAGACAACTTTAAACCGACGCCTAAAATGTCTACATTACCCTTGCGAGATATGATTTATTGTCTCACAACTCTCCGTTTGGAAGCCCTCATGTCAAGTGTTGCTATATATCTCGAGACCTGACTGCGAGATCGGCTTTATATATTAGTGATATGATATAGTTGTAGTTATATGGTTATTGATTAAAATATTAATGGGCATGGTTTATGATGCATATTTTAAAATTATTAACCAATCCAATAGTATAAAATGGTTCAATTTTAGGCTAGAGTATTAGTCTTAATAGATAAAGCACATCACATTTTAACTCTATGTTTCGTATGTAAAAAAAAACAATAAAAAAACTCTATTTTAAGTGTTTTATTGAATCTAGGCATTGGAAAGGTCATGTATGGCCACATTGTGGCATGTGATCCTATGTAAAGATGGCTTTTCACCGTGTCGGGTCGTGCTTTGTGCCAGACACACGTGCTTTGGAGTTAGTTAGACTCGGCCTATGAGTTTTGTGTCGTGCCGTGCCATGTCGAAATTAACAAAATTAAAGGTTGGCCCGTTTCACGGCCTAGGTTCACGTGCCATCGTGTCGGGCTTGCGTGTCTAAGCAAAATTGCATTGATTTTAGCATGATTTATGGTGTCGGGTTCGGCTATACTGTGCCTTATCGTGCTTCTCCCAAATAAAGGAGACCTAAGCTCGGCCCACGACCCACACACATAGTACTGAGTCATGCCATACTTTTTTTTTTTGTGCTGCGACTTGGGCCGACTTGACCCAATGCCATCTTTAGCTCTGTGGATTGTCTAGAAATATGGGTGCTAAAAGATAAATCTAATTTGGAAAGAAGGAATCGGTTTCAACCAAAGAGATACAGGTTTCGATTGGAAAAATATAATAAACCGATTTAGTGTCTAATCTGATTATAACTCCTTAAAAACATGTATTGAGTAAACTAATT